CTGGATAGATGGCTGCCATGTGGCTCCACCTTGTTGTGCAGACAAATCCAGATACTCCTTGAGGCCCAGAATTGATGTCTGTCTTGCTTACACCACCCCAGTTTCTAATCCCGCCTTTCTTACCCACACAGGTATGGAAGACAGACTATGCCAAAGGCTCAGGCCAGGATGTTGGATCAAGGTCACCAAAAGCTGCAAGAGAAGACCTGGATGACCAAGGTACAGCGTTACGGCCCAAAGCCGAAAGGCTGGTGGGTCGTTCTCCTGCAAGCGGCTACGGCTAGGACAGGGGGTGAGAGTCAGAGAAACTGAGGAACCCTCCTTCCCCATCCCCCACCAAACCTTGCTAGAGCGCAGCCCGGATCCCACCTGGTGAAGGTCCTGATGTTTCCGGCCTGTGTGACATCCTGGCTCTGGCAGGGCCAAATGTTGCAATCGCTGCTCCAAACCAAGGGAGACGGGCTCGGTAGAAGCATCTGGAGCCTCGCTTGGCACCGGGGCGGGACCTTTTACCCGTGGCCAGCAGTGAGTGAAGAGCAGAGTTGGAGCCAGATCCAAACTGTCCCGGTGTCAGCGGGTGTGTAAGGAAGGTCTCTCCTGCCGTATGGGGAGCACGTGCCCTGGCTTGAAACCCAGCTCCTGGGCTGGATTGAGTTCATCTTGATAACTCCCGTGGGAGCCGTGGGGCAGGGTAGCCGCTCTCGCGGCCACCAGGGGCACATGACAGCCATGCCACGGTCAGCGGCCTCCGGGCTTTCCTGGTGCCTTCACCCCGCCCATCGTCCCATCCCCTCCATCTCTGGGCCTGTCCCGAATCTCAAGGTGTCTCTCTGGACTGCTGCAGTCGAGGGCAGAGCGTTCTGGGCGAATACAGGAATGGCCAGACCTGGTGAGACCAAAGGTCCATCTAGCCCAGTGTCCTGTCTCTGATAGTGGCTAATGCCAGGAGCCCCAGAGGGAGTGAACACAACAGGGAATCATCACGTGATCCCTTCCCAGCCCCTCACAAACAGACCCCATCCCTAACCCATCCCTGCCCATCCTGGCTAATAGCCATTGATGGACCCATTTTTGAACCCTGTTATAGTCTTGGCCTTCGCAACATCCTTTGTCAAGGAGTTCCGCGGGTGAACTGTGCGTCATGTGGGGAAATACTTCTTTTTGTTAGTTTTAAACCCACTGCCTGTTAATTTTACTTGGTGACCCCAAGATCTTGTGTGACGCGGTGTAAATAGCACTTCCTTATTGACCGTACAGTCCCATCCCTGGCTCTGGAGTTCCTCCCAAGCAGAGGTCCACGCCAGCCCTAGCCAAGAACGCCCTCACAGGGGAGGTCACAGGGTCGAATTCAGATCCACAGGGGGACCGTGAGTCTCCTATTCAGCACGCCTTTCCGACGGGAACAGGAGAGAGGGGTCTGCCAGCTTCTCTGTCCCTACGGGCTCCCATTCCCAAACCCTTCTCCTGAGCCAGAGAGCCAGATGCTGGACAGCTGATGAGTGCGACTCCCATGCCAGGGCTGCTTGTGGGGGGCACGGCAGGATTCAGCCCCCCTCCCTCGTGGCTCATGTCTGGATTTCACCTCATGTTCCTAAAGCTCAGGCTTTGGGGGGTTCCTCTAGCCAGGTGCCAGGAAGGGGGCGTCCTCCCCGTTTATGCCCCTCCCGTGATACGTCACGGGGGGCGACGGACACTGGGTGGGGCAGGGCAGGGCTCGGAGGAGGCACGAAACATTTTCTCTCGGGGGCGTGGCTGGCAGGTTCCCACTCACAGGGTCTAATTGATCCCCATCGAGGGGGCAGCGGGGAATTCTCCCCCTGGTCAGATTGGCAGGAACCTTGTGGGGGTTTTGCAGTGTGTGGGGGCACCAGGATTATTGGGGGATACCCACGGCTCAGACTCCAGCCTTTCCCCTCCCTGGCAGCAGTCAGCCCCTCCTGCTGTCGCCCCGGTCTCCTCCCACTCCGATGCCCCCTGCGGCTGTCCCTGTCCCGGAGACCGGTCTGCGCGCTGCTCCCGACCCCCTGGCGCACCGCCACGCACGGATCAGAATGCAGCACCAGCGGGCGGGCCCAGGGATCAAGCTGGTGGCGGTGCCGGCCGGGAACCCGGGAGACCTGGTTCCTTTAGCAAGGCTTGGGCAGAGTCAGCGCCGCACTGCCTCTCCGCCGGCGACCTCGCGTCCTGAACCGCCCGGAGATGCTCAGTCCCCAGGCAGGATCAGGCCCCGGCTACGCGAGCTCTAGCTTAGCAGCTCAATACACGTCATGTGCTTAATAAGCCGCAGAAGGGCCGAAGGGCTCGGGGCACCACGGAGCCTCTTGCCGTGACATCGGCCCTGCCGGCTGTGAGAAAGCGCCCTGGCCTGAGGCCGGGAAGGAGCCAGGCCACACGTGGCACCTGGCTGGAGGGACCGGCTTAGGGATGTCTTTGCCACCCACAATGAAGCAGGAGGCTTTTCAAGGCCAGCGGAGGCCAGCAGGGGGCCCCTGGAGCACAGTTTTATTTTCCATCTCCCCCCCCCCCCCATGCCCATTGGGTTCTGCGGAGCGGCTGGCGAAAAGCTATTAGCAGTGGAGCTGTGAGCTGGCGGCTGAGGATGCCTTGAAAGCTACCGCGCTGCCTGGCGTGGGAATAAAAGCAATCAGAGGCAAACGGCCCTGATCTGACAGGTACCGCAGCCAATGGCCTGCTAGGGCTGGTATTTTCCCAGGGCATTTTAACCTGTGTGTGTGAGGGGGAGAGAGAACATCAGCACGGCCACACTGGATCAAACCAAAGGTCCATCTAGCCCAGTGTCCTGTCTGCCCACAGCGGCCAATACCAGGTACCCCAGGGGGCATGAACAGAACAGGGAATCCTCACGTGATCCCTCCCCTGTCACTCATTCCCAGACAAACAGGGACTAGGGACACTATTCCTACCCATCCTGGCTAACAGCCATTGCTGTATCTAACCTCCATGAACTTATCTAGCTCTTTTTTGAACCCTTTAAAGTCCTGGTCTTCACCACATCCCCTGGCAAGGAGTTCCACAGGTTAACGGTGCGCTGTGTGAAGAAAAACTTCCTTTTGTTTGTTTTAAACCTGCTGCCTATTCATATTCATTTCATTTGGTGACCCCTAGTTCTTATTTACTATTTACTTGTTCCCATAACATAAGGAAAAGTTTTCTCCACACCTGTCATGATTGTATAGACCTCTAGCATCTCCCCGCCCCCCTTCGTGTCCTAAGAGGAGACTCCCATTAAAAATAATTTAAGAAGGGATAGAGAAGAAGACAGAGAATTTCTTATTGCTTCTATATAAATCAATGGTACACCCACAGCTTGAATACTGTGTACAAATGTGGTTGCTCATCCAAAAAAGATTTCTGAACTTTTTCCAATGCCAAGATAAGGGCAACAGAAATGATGAAGGGTTTGGAATGGCTGCCATATGAAGAGAGATTAAAAAGACCGAGACTTTTCATCTTAGACCTCATCATCTCCCCACGTAAGTTACTCTTTTCTATCAAATTGTGACTGGTGCGGGGAAAGAGAATAAAGAAAAGTTATTTACTTGTTCCCGTAACGTAAGAACTTGGGGGTCACCAAATGAAATTGATAGGTAGCTGATTTAAGGAAGTCTTTCTTCACACAACACACAGGCTACCTGTGGAACTCCTTGCCAGAGGACGTTGGGAAGGCCAGGACTTTAACAGGGTTCAGAAAAGAACCAGATCAATTCATGGAGGATAGGTCCATCCATGGCTGTTAGCCAGACTGGGCAGGGATGGTGGCGCTAGACTTTGTTTTCCAGAAACTGAGAATGGGTGACAGGGGAGGGATCACTGGATGATTCCCTGTTTTGTTCTTTCCCTCTGGGGCACCTGGCATTAGCCACTGTGGGCAGACAGGATACCGGGCTGGCTGGATCTTTGGTCTGACCTAGTCTGACCATTCTTGTGATGAGGTGAGACACTCCCAGAGGATCCCACAGGCAAACCACACACCCGGCTGCGGAGGAAGAAGAAACCTCCTCCCATCCCTGAGGTTCCCGCCCATCCGCCCATCATTTAAACCCGTCCCTGAGTACGTGAGCAAGGCCCCCGCAGCCAGGCATCTCGAAAGAGGAGCTGTTGAACACGCGCACACGCTTTCACGCATTCATTTTCTCACCCGTGCATCCACCTGTGGCAGTGTTGTTAATTATTAGCCCGTCGTGAAGTTAAATTACAGCAAGGAGACACTCCCGAAAATTCCTCAAGGGGCTTCCTGATGATTTGAGGTGGCCTGCTATTCCCACTTCTCAGTCTACCCAATTACAAGGAATCAAATTAATCCGCAAGGTGGCCCTTCAGAAGACGGAAGTAACAATGACGGAGTTGCGTCGTTGGGGGGGTGTGTCTATGTGTGTGGACGCACATTTAATTATTGGTTCTGTAATGAGCAGATTTCGATAAGTTGATGATACCGAGGCTTTATGTAATTTCTTTTTAGTAGGCAATTACAGGCTGCATTATATCCTGGCAGCAAGGTATTCTGGGGCATCTTATTAAGCACAGAGCCAGTAAACACTGATGAACAATTTTGCTGAACTAGGCATGCAATTTAGAAAGCAATAATGCACAAATCCAATTTAGCGCACAATTGGTACAGCCGCACGTCAGCACATGTAACTATCATAGCTGCAAATTAAATTGGGACGGGCCTATTCCGCAACAGCGCCGGCCAAGATTAAATATATTTGTCCTCAACTTCACAACTTGCTGACCGTAAATAATCCCCGCCACGAGCCAACGGGGTCTAAATAGTTATTCTGAACTCGCGTTGCAGGTAACGAGTTGGGGCAGCAGCTGCTGCTCTGCCGGGAGCTGAACCTCGGCCTCGCCTTGACTGGGAAACCGGCTAAGAACAATCCCGCAGTGACGGCTCTTGCGGTAGCCAGGTAGGGTCACGCCCATTGCCGCGTGTCTTCTGTCCAGCAGGGGGCGACGTCGTATCCCCGTGATTCCAGGCGCTTGATCTGAGCTGCAGCTGATTTGTATTATGTGTGAAAATACCCCCAGGCGCTTGATCTGAGCTGCAGCTGATTTTTATTGGGTATTTTCATACATAAGTAAAATCCACCTGTCCTAAAAAGAGGCAGAAGCAGGGTGAAACCGCGGTCCCGATACAGGGCTCGGGGCCACTGGAGCCGTCTTCGGGGAGATGTCACCAGACGTGCTCCGTAAAGATGCTGTGCTTTTAGTCTCCGAAATGAAGAAGTTCTTGGATTGGGGTCAGGTTTCAGGGATCATCGGTGGCCTCACTACCGATCTTCCATCATTTCAAGCGTTCAGCCCCATCTCCTGCCCTCTAATGTCACTGTGCGCGGGGCCACGGCCGCCGGGCTCCTCTCCAGAAGTGGCAGCACTTCATTGGATCGCGGAGACTTGGGGAACCCGAGGAGGGGGGGGATCTGGGCCCTGAACTTCTCAGCCTTTGGAGGTTTAGAGAGGTCAGGGGAGAAAGCCGCTACAGTCCCTCATTGCAGAACTCTGATGCTAGAATTGCCGGGCAAACCCCACGTGTTGGGAGTGGTGCGTGGTTGCACGGGAGCTGAATGAATCTTGATCTCTAGATCTCGCCGGCCAACCCAAACCTTGGATACAAACCCCGCTGAACTCTGGGGAAACGGTCTCTGAAACCAGCTGCCGCTTCTGGGAGCTTGGGCCTATCTCTAGCTGACATGAGCGATCTCTTTCTTCTTTTCTCTCCCAAGAAATTCTTCCAGGCTCCTGGTTGGCGACGAGAGGGGCCGGATCTACAGCTGGGCCGTGGAAGGGTAGGAAGAAACAAGGAACTCTGTCCCCGGCCCTGCCTGGTGTCTGTGGATGGAAAGAAAATTGCCCTGCAGTGTCTACAAGATTCGGAAGGCGGAGTGGAATGCACGGGCAGGGGGTGACCACGTGGAGAGGGAGACAAGCCCCCCAGGTCCTCCCCCATCCGGCCAAGCCCCTTCCCTTCTAGCCCACCGGAGCTCAGCCTCGCACCCTTCTGGCTGTTGCTAGCCCCTGTCCTGCCCCCGCCAATGTGGTCGCTGGCACTTTACCAGGCCCCAGGGTAGCGTCCCAGCCTGGAATAGCGCGGCGCCAACCTTCCTCCGCTCTTGCCTTTGACACCCGCCACCCGTGGTGCAGTGAAACAAATCGGAAAAGGCTGTAGGGTCAGTTTGGGAGCAGATGAAGCATCTGGCATCCTCTGCCACAGCTCTTAAGAGTAATCAGGTACGAGAGTCCAGATCCTCCTTACTGAAATCGCCCATGAGAATCCCGGCCCTGGTGCACTGCAGCGCGTGTGCTCTATCGGCCACCTCTCCCTGACGAGACCAGGTCTCCCATCCTGCTGCCGGGGAAAGCAACGGGAATTGTACCCCGCTGCAATGGGACCCGCTCCGGAGTCTGGGCCGCTGTACAGAACGCAGCAGGTGACTGCGGTTGACGTGTGTTTAAAACTGATCCTCCTCGGCCCCTGCATTTGAACAGCACGTGAACTGCCCCTGTACAAAGCGAGTTTTGCACTAAATAAAGTCCAGCTGTTTGTGTGTTAACGTGGCTCCGGAGCCCTGCAGCTGGGATGCGGGATGCTCTTCACACTGGAACGTCTCAGAGGGGGCATCGTGTGAGTCTGCCTCTGCTAAAACCACAGGGCGTCCGGTGGCACCTTTGAGCCTGGCAGATGTATTCGGGCATATGCTTGGGTGGGTAAAACCCCCCTCCTGACTCCAATGGCGTTAACACGGGAACCCAGCGGTGCGCTGCGAAACAGTCTTGCTTGTGGGTGGGTATTAGGGTTTCCAGGGGACAAGCTGATCCGGGTGCAATCAAGATGTTAGTGGTGCGTGGGGGTGTCAGTCCATATAGCAGGGGTGGGGGGACACGGCCCAGGGGTGGGGACACACGGCCCAGGGCCGGTTCCGCCTAGGGATGTAAGCGGCTAGTCGACTATCTGATTAGCAAATGCTTATCGGGTAGTCGAGTAAGAACTTGACTAGTTGCTCTCTCTCTCCCCCGCCCCTTGCTGCCTGTCTGAGAGAGGCAGCAAAGGCGGGAGCACGAGTCAATGCTGGGGGAGGCATCTTAAAAGCCGGTTCCCCACCGTTTCCGTGGGGGGCAGGGTTAGGCAGAGGGGAAACGGCACGAGCGGGGATTGAACCGTCCCGCTGGAGCTGGTCCCGCTGATGCTCCTCTCCCTGTGGAATGTACATGAGTCGCCTGCGGCTCTTGTACATTTCCAGGGAAGAAGCACAGAGGGGAACCTGTTCCAGTGGCCGCTTTGCTCCCGCCCGGCGCGGGTTCCCGCTGCCTCTCTCCCTTTGAAATGTACAGACGCTGCAAGCGGCACTTGTACATTTCAGAGGGAGACGCGCAACTGGATAGCGAGCAAAAGGGAAGAGAGCTGAGAAGAGCAGCATGAAAAGCAAGCTGTGTGGAGAAACAGACCTGCTGTGTCAGAGCCAGGGACACACAGCCCAAGGAGTGCAAGCTCCGCTGAGGGGCAGACCTGCAGTGACGGAGCCACACACACACGGCCCAAGGAGCGCAGTCCCTGATCTGAGCTGCAGACCTGCAGTGACCAGAGAGCTAAAGGGGTCAGAGAAGCAACACAAGGAGCTGGAGTCTGGCAAAGCAGCACAGCCTGCAACTGGGTGTGGTGAGCAGCTGGGACCAGCAAAGTGAGGGGAGAGGCTCTGAGCAGGGAGACACCACCAGCCAAGAGGCCCTGCAGGCCAGACTCGGAGAGGGATTGTAACTCCAACTGGGAGAGGGGTCTTGCCACCTACAGCCTGAGGCCGTGTGGTTCCTCCCAGAGCAAGCGTGTCCAGCCTGCTGTCCCCCCACAGCACAGCCACGGCCTGAGACAGAGCCCTGGGACCTATAAGGAACAGACTGTGAACTTACACTCTGCAGACGGCTGTTTGTGATGTCCCCGTGCTGCAGAGCGGGGCTGCGTGTTCTCATTGAACCTTTCTCGTTTCTCCTTATTCTTTTCTTTTTAATCAGTTGCTGTTTAATAAATTGTATTTGCTTTGAGCGGTATGAAATGATCAGTGGGCCAAGAAAGCCTGCAGTGTGCAGAGAGCAGCCCGGAGTGGGGACACCCTGCCCCTGCCCTAAGTGACTACAAGGACGGGGATTCAGCCCCAGAAAACCTGGGCCCAGCCGTGGTGGGATTTCGAGGGCTCTGCTACTCAGGGCAGCCGTCAGAGTCAGGGAGGCCGTGGGGTAACGGAAGTGGGATTGAGGACTCAGACCCGTTCGCGGGTCCATTTCACCGGGGTGGTGTAGAAGCCAGGAACGTTCCCCACAATAGTGGGACCATTCCCCCCTTACAGGTGGTTGCTTTTATCTGCTCATTGGCTTGTTGCGAGGCCTCCGTGGTGCCAGTCTCTGTGGAACCCGCACACCTAGCGTGGGTCACCGTCCCGGGCAGTGGCACCGAGACCACAGCAACAGCTAAGAACAAGGGATCTCTGCAGCAGGGGCTGGGAGCCAGCTGGCTTTATAGCTTGAGCTATTGCGGCACCTCTGCTACGCTCCCGAGGTCTGAGGTTCAAATCCGCCTGGGGATGGATCTATAAGCACAGAGGCCACGGCTTTGTAAACACTGTCAGAGGGAGGCCGGATTGCAGGCCCCAGGGGGTCTGAGGTTCAAATCCGCCTGGGGATGGATCTATAAGCACAGAGGCCCACGGCTTTGTAAACGCTGTCAGAGGGAAGCCGGATTGCAGGCCCCAGGGAGGTGGGGGCTCAGAGCGGAAGCAACGGCCCTGGCAGCAGGACCCATGGGGGCCGGTGGTTTCAGAGCCTTGTGCGAAACAAACACGGGGGTCAGCGTCTCACTCCCTGCAGAGCCAGGGCCTGCAGCTTCCGGCTGCTCCCAGGAGAGGAGCCATCCTGTGCTCCGCAGTGGGTGACAGGGTCACAGCCCTGTGCTGCCCCCTTCTCCCCCCAGGAGGGGCCTTTTGGTGTCAGCTGTGTGGGGCTGGCTCTGTAGCGTGTTCTCTACTCGTAGAGCTGAGCCACCATGTGCCACCCCCTCTCTGTACAAACTCGGTGGGCAAGAGTCAGCCCGCCCTGGGGGGCCTACAGGAGCTGAGCACAGACGCCTTGTCTCCAGCCCCGGGGAGCAGGCGCTGCTGCCTGTTGTTCTGCGTGGGAGCCATAATGCCTAGCGCCTAGCCCTTCCCTCCAGAGATCCCTGAGGGGGCTGGCTACAGGGCAGGGGGTCCCCCCAAGGCTGGCGCTGACATCCCCTGGAGGGAGGCAAAGGCATCTGCTGAAAATGGCCTAAGGCCTCAGTCGCCAGAGGCTGGGATTGTGGGTTTGAGTCCCCACAGCGCATCTAGACAGGGTGCCCGCCTTCCCCAGGGTGGTGGCATTATCCCCACACCAGATTACAGCTGGGGAAACTGAGGCACAGCTTGACGCCAGCTGACCTGGGGCAACTAGCAGGTTAGCAATAGAGCCAAGATCAGAGGGGGCAAACTACAGCCTGGGGGGCACATCTGGCCCATCAGACCCTTCAGTCTAGCCCCTGAGCTCTGGCCAGGGAGTGGGGTCAGGCAAGCTGGGGGGGCGGGCGAGAGACAGACAAGAAGGGGGAAGCTGGCCCCTCCCCTACAGTCCCCTGCCCTGCTGCCTCAGTTCCCCCAGCCTGGTTGCTGCACTGCCAGCCCCAGAAGCAGGGTGGGGATT